GCACATTCTGAAAGAAACCTACCTTGACCACCCAATATTAATTTGTGACACCATCCCTTACCCTGCTATACTTTTTCATTACCACATATGTCCTTCTAACACAAAAGAAAATGTATTTATTTAGGAAGGGGGGTTACTGATTATTTCTGTGCCTCAACAGAATATAAACTTTCTATGAGCAGGAATTTTTGCCATTTTATTTGTGGCAATGTTTCCTTACAACTTTGAAAAGTACCTTATACATATCTGGGCACATAATAAGCCCTCAGTACATATTTATGGAATGAATGAATGGTTTGTTTGAATCCTCATTAAGCATTTTAGCTCGTGGAGGTATATTTCATATTGCTCATTTCCCAGATTATATACGGATTAGCAGAAATGGAGAAAGTTACATAAAGTCTGTTGTCACCAAGTTTCCAGTATGATATATTTGGAAATATTTAGATGCCTTAAAGGAAAGATGTTTTATTTTTTTAAAAATCACACCAGCTACAAGTTCATAAAATATTAAAAAGCTCCCAACTAATTCCTTAAATATACTATGTTTCCAAATAACTTTTAAGGACAACACAAGCACACCATCATCATGGGTGAGTGAATGCAACTTCATGACTTACTAGGAGAAATTTTAAACTGTTTCATAAATAAATGAAAAATGTATTAGAACCTGAATACAACTCCATGGATTAATTTTGGGATATTTAGGCTTTCCCAAGGGGTTAAAAATATCTCAGACAACATAGATGTTGATCGAAGAGTATCCTGAACAACATCCTGGGAAATGTCCATCTATTTACAGCCCTGAACATATTGTGAAATGTTATTCCGAACTATATCTGATATTAAAATATGTCAACTGTATCAAACTAATGCACACAGATTCAGAATCTTAAGATTCAAACTATGGAAAAGAAAGATTACACATACTTTATACCTGAATTTAGCTCAGCATGTTTTACTGTTCCATTTTATTTTCATATCAAAGGCCAGCAGGGCCCAGACTTTGAACTAATGTCATTCAAGTATTCATGTTTTAATAGGATGGCCATTTGTATTCCAGGAACTCTTTCCTTTTAGGAGCTGGCACTAAGTGGAGCTGATATATATCTGAAGCTCTTTAATTTCAAAGATAGCTCTGTGCTCAGATTAGCAGCACAGAAAAAGGAGCAAGACAAGAAACAATCCATAAAGGCAAATAAATTCTTTGATATCCCAAAGCTTTTGTCTATTTTCTCCTATCAATCTATAAAATAATCTTACCAATTTAATAAAGGCTAGTCAAACATCAAAAGAAACTGGGATAAGATTTACATATTCCAGAATCCATTTTAATGAATTTTTATATTCAGGTTACAATTTCTTCAAAAATAGTTTGCAAATATATATAGATAGATATAGATAGATATAGATATAGATAGATGATATAGATAGATATAGATATAGATATAGATATAGATATAGATATAGATATAGATATAGATATAGATATAGATATAGATATAGATATAGATATAGATATAGATATAGATATAGATATAGATATAGATATAGATATAGATATAGATATAGATAGATATAAATGCAGGCTGATTTTTTTACCTGGAGAGATAATAGCAAGAAGCAAGGAAGTAATAAATAGACAAAGAATAGCATATCTCAGAGAGTGACTCCTTTTGCAGAAGTTATCATAAGTTTTACCCATTACAAGAAATATTTTTCTTTTCAAAGGATCAGGTAAAAATAGATAAATTATAATTTCTTAATACTTTTTATATTTTAATCACATCAAATTTATCATACATTTCTAGAAGCTTAGTTCTAAAAACTAAAAACTTGGAAATAAAGAAAATAAAATAGAGGGCAAATGCTGAAAGTTCTTTAATATTGGGAGCAGTAAATGAGCTGTGGAAAAACAGGTCTTTAACAAACTTGACTTTAGGACAAAAAGAGGACTGGCTTTAGCAAAAGCCCCGCTGGGCCAAGCCTCTTCCAGCTCTCTCCAAAAACAGGACAAAACATGAATGAAACAAACAGAAACACTTGGAAGAAGCCTCCAGAGTACAGTCATTTCCCACAAAGGTGAGGAATGACTTAGGTGCCTGGCCACAGGGTTCAGGAAATAATTATTAATACATTCAGGAAATGATAATGTTTACATCACCAGGTTTTTGTAATATAGCACAAATAAATTTCATAATTGCATATGCATTAAGAAGATAATCACTAGATCATTTTACCTCAAATAAATAAGATTTTCAATTTAGAATTATAAAAATGTTAGATTTTTCTTTATCTCATTTCTTTTGAAAGCTTAAAATGCAAGGAATTAATAATCTCTAATAATACATTTTAAATGCCTCAAATATTATATAAATTGATAATTCTTATCCTTATTCTATAACAATGATTTTCTTCAAAGAATTATTAAATAAAGCCAAAATAATACTTGATATATATTTTTTGTTTGTTTGTTTTACAGCTACAAAACATAATAAACTGTTCACTGAACTTTATTTTCTTGGTGTATAAAAATGTAGAAAATAATATAACCCATCTCATATGGTCATAAAATTAACTGACATTGTTCCTTTTAATTAATTTTTAACTATTTTGAATAACTACTAAGATATTTCTTGATTCACAGAAAGCATTTAATATCTGTTACTATACTCATCATTATTATTATCACTATTTAATGATAAGCCAATCTTCTTATGTCTCCACTTACATTTCCCTGGTTATTTCCCCTTTCTGAAATATCAACTCCTTTCTCTTCATTAAGATAAATACTATTTCAATCAGCCTCTCATGATATTTCTATTATATCAAATTTAGTGTACAATTATATGTATTATACTATGTAAACATTTCCTTATATTTGTTTTCTAGCATTATTATATTAGATTTTCCACATTATCTATTTATGTATTTTTTTTTAAAAAAAAATTGCCCTGGCTGGTTTGACCCAGTGGGCCTGTGGACTGAAGGGTCCCAGGCTTGATTCTGGCCAAAGTCACAAGCCCAGGTTACAGGTTTGATCCCCAGGAGAGCACATGCAGGAGATGGCTGATCAGATTCTCTCTTGTCCTTCATGTTTCTTTTTTTTTTTTAATTTATTTTTTAATATATTTTATTGATTTTGTACAGAGAAGAAGGGAGAGAGACAGAGAGTTAGAAACATCGATGAGAGAGAGTCATCGATCAGCTGCCTCCTGCACACCCCCTACTGGGGATATGCCCGCAATCAAGGTACATGCCCTTGACCAGAATCGAACCCGGGACCCTTCAGTCCCCAAGCCGACGCTCTATCCATTGAGCCAAACCGGTCTCGGCATGTCCTTGATGTTTCTATCTCTCTCTACCTTTCCCTTCTTCTCTGAAATCAATAAAGATATATATATTTTTTAATTTAAGACAAAAAAAATGCTCTCTTACTTTCCTTAAATACACACAGAAGCACAATTGTATACATCTCAAAAAAAATCTAGTATAGAGGTAGGATTACAGTGGATGTTTAATGCATGCATGCTTTTTATGTTGAACTGCATCATTAGTAAGAGTATGTGAATTGTTTTATCTTTCCTATCTTAAGTTCATCCTTCAAACAGAGTTGGACACAGTCTCCATGGAAATTGGAAGCAGAAAAACTGTGTTACTTCAATTCACTGAACTGAAAATTTGAATTCCCTTTTATTACAAGCACTTTCATAATTTTATTTTATTTATGTAGCAATGACCAAGCTCTGGGTGTATAATATGTACATTCTAAATTTTTTGAAAATAGCTGGAAAGCTGGCATGTTCTATAGCCATGTTGCCTTCTTCCAAAAGAAATAAGCTCTATGGATTATTACTTCAAATATTTCCAGTCTCATCTATATGTAAAAACAGCCCATGGCCATAACATCCAAACAACTGGGCACCATGAAGTGCATGGAGCACCTCTCGGTTCCTCCAAAATGAATCACAGGCTCCGAGCACAGCAAGGCTCACAGCTGGCAGGTAGATGAGGCAGCAGGTTGGTGGGCGCAGCTAGGCACATGTGGGTAAGCGAAGCTGTGAGTGCGGCAAGACAGTAGGCAGGTGGGTGGGGCTGCAAGCACAGTGGGATGCACATGGGTGAGAGGGGCTGTGAGCACAGGGAGGAGAGCGCAGGGAAGAGCATGCAGGTGGGTGAGGCCGCAGGATTTCACATGCTGGGCTTCTAGCATTAAAATTAATGCCAGTTTTACATCTCTGCTCAGTGAGTTGCTTTGGAGTACTCAGAAGTCAATATTTCTACTTTATTAATTCTATTTCCTTATACCCAGCCTGTCTATTTTCTCAGTATTTCAAATTACTAAGTTTTTCATGTTTATTATAAATCAAATCATTTTCACATATAAAGGAAATTTCTATTTCCTTTTGCCCTATGTGGATATAGCTAAATGCATATTGATTTAGCTTGAGGTATGAAGAGCAATAATGAAATCAACCTGGTAGAAGGGGAAAAATTAATACTTATAAGTGAATGATGGCAAGGGAAACAGAAAGTTTTTAAATTGGTTTGGCCTAGAATATGGGCTTAGATCTAAGATAATGTTTCTTTTTATACTAATCTTACCTATAATTCTATCAGTACAGAATATTTTTATGGATAATTGATTCCATCTTATTAAATAATAAGACATGTATCATATCACCAAATCTCTACTAGCTGCTTTAAATTCCAGCTTTTGAATCAATGATATAACTCATTTTATGCCTGAAACAATAAAAATATAAGAATTTATCATAACAGTAGGATATACAAAATAAGTATTTCACAGAAACATGCACAACTTTAGGCAAATTATAATTCAACTCCAAATCTTAGCCACACCCAACCCCACACTTGCACTTTCTCATAGGAATAGAATGAAATGTCATAATCCCTGATTTTTACCCCCTTTGCAAAAAAAAAAAAAATCTTCCATATTTCAAAGTAAGCATGCACCATGCAACATGCAAAAAAAATACCTTGGGTTTCTTATTCTCAGGGTCTGTTGGCAAGGAAAATGCACAAGGTGAAATCAGCTCCTTGGTTCTTGTTAGAGAGGTGGGAGGTGACGGGGTTGAAACAGATGACCTGTGGTCAGATATTGAGCTTTCTGATTTCCCAGATCTTGAAGGTAAGGTGCCACTGCCACAATGTGGGTGCAGTGCTGAAGGACTGAGCTGGAGTGCCTGAGTGGGAAGGTGAGCGTGAGGGGAAGGGGAGGACCCCAATTTGGGAAAAGAGGCAGAGCTAGCACTGGAGCCAGGCCGTGAAGTAGGAGCAGAAGGATTCTGTCCTTGGCCTGAGAGCAGTGGTGATGCTCTCTGGGACCTGTGTAGCAGGTCTGAAAGAACCGGAGAAGGATGGAAACTTTTCTCTGGAGAGGAGAGTGTGGCTCTTTGGTTAGTGGGAAATGCAGATGGTGACATAGAGGAGGCTGATGCAGAAGGATATGTATAAATATTCCTGGGATTTTCTGGACCCCAGAGGTCAGCATCCCTTTTGCTCTTCCAAGAAAAAGGATAAAATCTTTGTGAAGCAGGAGGAAGACCTACAGGACTGGATGTCTTTGTTTGTAGCAGGGAGGGGATTGAATTACTCTTCAAAGAAGTGGGTGATGGTATCTTCTCTACATTTAAAGAAGCCAGGCTACTACTACTACTCTCATGTTTTGTGGGAGAAAGGGGGTGCGCCTGAGAAAGGGGAGCAGATTGGGTGAAAAAAGGTAAGTGAAAGGATGGCTGGCTAAATTGGGAATCCTGGTGTTCCCCCTGCCAAGGAGACCCGCCGCTCAGTGAGCAACTTGAGAGAGATTTTTTAGGTGTGGATGGGGCTTGCTTTGCTTTTTGATCAAGCGTGAGTGTAGACGAAGCCAGGGAGTTGAGAGAGAAAGTGGGACAGGATGCAGGGGACATGGGTCTCTGGTGAGAAGGGTTTGACTTGAGGATGGCAGTGAGAAGAGAAAGCCGGGAGGGCACCAGGGATTTCACCCCTGACTTGGAGAGATTTCCACTAGAAGACATTGGGCTACAGATGGTGGAAGAAGAGCCATGGAGAGAGGAAGGGAATGGTTTGGGACTTGGGGAGAGTGAATGCATGACAATACGGACTGGTATGTACGAGGCTGAATTCGACTTCAGAGAAGCACTGGAGGATGGTGGAGGAGAAGAGGGCCTCAGACTTTCTCCGGGGCTAAGGACGTGTGAGGCTGACGCTGTCTTCTTCAGAACTTCCAAGGTCCGCCCAGGTTTCTGATCTGCTCCACTGGGACTGGACAAATTAGAGCCTGATAACTGGGTGGGATGGGGAAACTGAACCGTCGAGGAGGTGCCCTTCGATGCAAAAAAGGGCGATGAGTGAGCAGAAGTGTGAAAATACGTAGCTGTTTCTTCCACCAACGCCCCACTGGCATCCAGCCTCCTAGTGTGGAACTCCTCTAGCGCAGAGGCCCCGCCGAGCTTAGCGGGGTCAGGTGGTGCTTTCTGATTAGTTGGAGAAACAAAGGAGAAAGCAGGTGGTTTACAGGCAAGCTGCTCAGAGGTAGTGGAAGAAGTTGACTGGAGGAGAGAGAAACAGACAGATTGCAATAGAACATTATTTGTGAAGCTATCCATATAGTCTTAGCACTTGTGTGTTTATGCAAACAGTCCTAATAGTTTACATGAAAAGAGGCACCTTAAACCTTCATAAAAATGGAAGAAGTTCTGTTTTGCCAAAGAGGCCTTGTTTTGAATTTGGAAAAGAATATTAGAAAACTTGAAGTATTATATACAACAGCTCATGTATTCCCCTGAATGAGCATCAATATTAAATTATATTTGCATATTTCCATTTATAAAATGATTTACTCACAGAATCTAAAAGAGTTATCTTAATTTGGAATTATGTGATTTGAAAAGATTTAAATAATAGTCAGTCTAAATTTCAAAATTCACTTAGGAAAATGAAATAGATTTGTTTTCATTGAAAGACTATAAACCATCATATAATAATAATGACTACAGTCCTCAAAAAATTTAACATACGTCAAAGTTTGAAATTCTAAAAATCTGGACTACTGTTACATATTGGGAACCTAAAAAGAAATGCCCAGAATTCAAAAGATGTAGCACCCAATATCAATATGCACTGAGAGAGGGAAAGCAAAGTCCAAAATAAAGAGGGAATTTTAGCTTACAAAAAATATTTTCCCTAATTACTTGCCAGGATAAACATATAACAAACAACTTGGTCGTTTGTTACTGAAAGGGACACGTGTTCTTTCATATCAAAGCATCCAGAGTACTTTACAAATGTAATGTACCTTAAACAGTGCAACTAACTCTCAATTCCACACAAAACATATGGAGAAATAATGTATCCTTGCCAAGCAAGGCTAGGATGAGCTTGTGAAATAACAAGGTGTAAGTATTCCTGTGTTCTATTTTTAAGACAAATACTGAAATTACAAGTGAGTCTAAAGTAAATCTTTTAAACATAGGTTTTCTTTCAAAATCGTTGCTTTGATTCTATCAATTCATAAAACTACCGTGTCTAACAAAGAATTTAGGGCATTAAAGAATATTTATCAAGTGATTTTATATGTATACATTTTTGCATTACATAGCAAGAAAATGTATGATCATAATATTTAAACTTAAAAGGTTGACTTAAAAATTCAGTAAAAGATACTTCTTGGTTTTGCTTAAGGTATCCATGTTAAGGTATCCATCAGTTCTAAAGTAAAGATTTTCATATCAAATAGTCTTGAGTTCTGAAAAATATTTAAAACTAATAAATTCAAACCACTCACCCAAGACTTTCCAGTTTCTGAGCAAAAAACCCCAAAATATTAATTTCATTTTATATGTAAGCTACATATGTATGTGCAACCCAAAATTCTTGCCACAATAAATAATATTTGAGTACAGTGGTATAACCCAGGATAATTGAAAACATCAAGCAGAGAAATTGAGAAAGAAAGCTTAAAAATTCCCTCAGTGATTGTAGAACTGTTTCATGTGATTAATCATAAATAAAATTCTTCTCTTATTATTTCCAATGATGGTCTCCTCACAGAAGGAATGAAAACATTTCAAGACCTGGTAGGGTGCCTTTTCATGTTGTGCCACAGCTTTTAGTAAAGAGTTTTATAAATTAGTAATAGAACCCCAAAATCCCATTATCCTTTCAATCATATTTCTGAATAATTTCAATTTATATGACAAACTCATTAATTTATCCTGATTATTCATCAAAATTTCATGATAAATCATAGGGCAATCATTTTGAGGATTTCATTCAGAGGAAAATATTGTTCTAACAAACTTTTTCAAGAGTATGAATTCTAATTACCAAATTTTCTACTACATAAAGTCATATTTTTTGCTAATATGAGTAACTCAAAGTTTTATCGTACTTTTTAACAGTTGATTATAAAGAACTTCTAAAAGAAAAACTCTGAAAAATCTAAGAATGTTTATTGTTTATAATAATCTACATATTTAATATTCTGTATGTTAATATTTATAATACATACATTTCTAATTTGTAAATATACTGTGATGTTGCACCATGTTTGTTTAAAATTTCAAGGAGTGAAGAATGCATTTTTTAATGAAAAATACTCATTGTCCTGAGTTCCTCTCATCAATAAGTTGTGTTTTTTTTTAAAGAGGCGCTAAAGACATGAATGATTTTATGCAGAAACAATAGATACCTGTCAAATGCTCAGTGAGTTGCCTAGCCTTTATTTTACATCTTCCCTGTAAATCCCTATTTCTCTATTGAGGTCTATGAATTATTTTCATTCTTTCATTCTCTCCCACTAATAACTCCTTGTGCTGCTTGTTACTAGGTTTGTTACTGTTGCTCTAATTCCTTCTCCCTCAAACTTGTTCTCCTTCTCCACTATTTATTACAAACCTGATCTTTGTTGAGTCCTTTGCTTCAAACACCTTTCAAGCTATCCCTGACTATGTACTCCAATCCCAAACCCTCCTTGATTATTTGAGCCCTCTTACCACACACCTCCTCCAAAGTCATTTTTCAAAACTCTCTTTTCCTAGAAAGACTCTCCTGAATCCTGGAATACATTAACATAATCTCAGTAACAGAGGATCCTTGCAGTGTTCTGCTGTCATCAGCTTTCCCTCCTGTTCTGAACAACAGATCTTCCAAAAAGTCAACACTCACCATGAAACATTTTCCCACCATTCTCTCACTATACTCAACAACTTAAGATTCCTTTTCTCTAAGGAAAACCGAGATTACCAGGAAAATCAAATTTTCTCGATCTACCCTCATTTTCTTTTATTTATTCTAGAAAAATTACGACTTTTCACTTTTTAAAGGTTAATTTTCTCTATGTACTCTGAGTCACAGAAAATCCTGTCTTCTTAGGGATCACATTTAGTCAGTTATCCTCATAGGCTACATATTCATCCTTTTTTTGTTTTTTAACTAGCTCTCTCATCTTAACATAAATATAAAACAGAATTTCTCTAATATTTAAAACATCATAATAAATATCATCTAGAGGACTACAAAAATTTTCACCATTCTCTAGTCTTTTCATTAAAAAGGCAAACTCCTTTTGTTCACCCTGTTAGCTCAATTGGCCATATAATTTGTTTTGGCCAGTAGATCATTAGCAAATGTGATAAAAGAAGCAGCTAGAAAAGCAATGTGCATTACTGGCTTGCTGAGTGCAGAACATTACCATAATGTGAATGAGTCCAGCTAGTCTGCTGGAAAGTACAATACCACATCTTAACTAACCAGCCAGCAGACAGCTTAACATCTCCAAACCAATCCAGAAGGCAATCACAGACACATAAGTGAACCACAACAAAGGTCCAGTCCTGTGGAACCACTGGGCTGAACCTTGCCAAATTGTTGACTGTCAGATTTCTGAGCTAAATAGAAGGTTGTTCCTGACAAACACTGAATTTTGGCATGGTTTTTTAAGTAGTAAAAGCTAATTAGAAATGTATGCATATACATACACTAGGATCAAAATGAATCCTGTCTTTCCCACAGTTACAGATCCATGTGGTTCTCTTGACAGTTACATCTTTACCATACAATCACTGCATTGATTTCCTTTTCATGGCCAACACACCCTAAAGTGACTTCCCAGAATCCCACTCTTATATAATCCCCTCCTTGAGAATGGGTGGAAGTTGTGACTTGCTTCTAATTAATAGAACCTGGCAGAGGGAAAGGAATTTTGTAGATGTAATTAAAGTCCCTCACCAGGTGACTTGAAGTTAATCAAACAGGAAATTATCCTGTGTGGGAATGACCTAATCAAGTGAGTTTTGAAAAAATGAATCAAACCAGTTTGGTTTGGCTCAGTGGATAAAGCCTCAGCCTGCAGACTGAAAGGTCCCAGGTATGATTCCGGTCAAGGGCATGTACCTGGGTTGCGGGCACATCTCCAGTAGGGGGTGTACAAGAGGCAGCTGATCAATGATTCTCTCTCATCAATGTTTTTAACGCTCTATCCCTCTCTCTTCCTCTCTGTAAAAAAAAATCAATAAAAATATATTTTAAAAAATAAAATAAAAAATGAATCAAAGTGTTAGAGATCAAAATAGCAGAGCAAATAAATAGAATAAACATTTTTAAGCCACTAAATTTATGGAGATCTGTTATGCAGCAATGGAAAACTAATACACTTTCCACTGGCTTCTTAACAGTCCTCCCACCCCTATCTTTCACAGGTTCTTATCTCCATTGTCTACAACGATTTATCATTTTCTAAACCCAACAGGCACTTAGATCCCTTATCTTTTCTGATTTCTCTCTAGAATCTGACACTTCCTATCCCTCACTTCTTTTCAAAACTGCTTTATCTGTGGTATGTTTTATCAGTCCTTCTTTTTTTTTCAGCTACTAATATGTTGGAACTTCTCTCTGCTGATTCCTAGAACTGCCTGAGCACTGCTTGTTTGCCCAGAAAACTTGTACTTAACCTTTGTACTTTAGCTCATCCTACGTGAACCTTTCCTGAGGTTTGAGGATGATTTAGGTGTCCTCCCCTGCACTTCCCATTGTTCCCTGAATATGTTATCTTTCATTGTCATTGTATTCAGATGCATCTGTTTTCAAGTTCTTAGGAGGTAGGTACTATGCCTTTTAAAGTTTATCCTCTTAGTGTCTAGTGCATGGCATATTTCCTTCCTGCAAGAATGAAGAAGTATCCTGCAAATGTAAGAACAAAAGCACATACAGCAGGAACATAGTGTCTCCTTAAAGAAGGCCTCATCACCTCCTTCAGAGATTGTCCCCTCTAACTCTGCTACAAACTCCAGACAGTAAAGTTGGGTGAGAGATGGAGAAAACAGTGACTCTGATGGCCAATTTAGTCTTACCTCTCAATAGAAGAGAAAAAAAAAATGAGTTCTGATATCAAGTCAGGAGACACTCCTGTTGAAGGTTCTATCATCTTTCTGCTGGAATTGTCAAAGCAACATGATTTCCCATAAATGTACTTCCTCTATTCTTTGAGCTAATGGTACAAATGATGCTTCATCCAGAGGAAGCAACAGACCATCAGGCAGGGATCACAGGG